CTTCTTCTTCTTCTTCTTCTTCTTCTTCTTCTTCTTCTTCTGGTCTTTTTGAGACAGGGTCTCCCTGTAGCCCCAGCTGAGCTGAACTTGCTATGTAGACCCAGCTGACCTCAAACTCACAGAGATCTGCCTGCCTCTGCCTCTCAAGTGCTAGGATGAAAGGTATGTGCTTCCATGCCCCGCCTGAAGTGACTTCTATACAGAAATTAAATTATAGCCTTGAGGTATCTTAGAAAACTCTATCTAGGACGAGAGACTAGAAATACTGAAGATGGTCTAAAGGGGCATTATTTTGTTGAGGATACTAAGCAGGGTACAGTCTGCTCAGATTCACTCAGTAGTTAGTGACAGGATGGGGTCTGAGCCTGGCCTCCCGCCAAGAGCCTGACTAGCAACATGCTGTCCTGGTCTTGCCTCTTCTAAAACTGTAGCAGACCAAAGAGAAGTCCTGTCCCTGCTCTTCAGGAAGAACAAAAAGAAAAGGAATGCTTGGGATGTTACCTTTAAACAGGAAAACCAGGTCTTTATCAAAATCCTCATAAGCAGCTTGAATGCCACTGGGCAGGAACGGCCAGAATAGAGAGATGACATTGAGGTCCACTTCTGGAAGCTGAGGGTGTCGTCTCCAGAAGTACCTAGAGGAGATGAAGACAGAGGGGAGGGGGGAAAAAGTAGAGAGAGAGAGAGCCAGATGTACATGTGGAGAGAGACACAGAGGCAGTCACAGAGAAAGACAGAGACAGAGGGAATGCAGACACACACACATATGCAGATAGAGACACAGACACATTCATAGAGACAGAGACAGAGTGGCATAGAGACAGAGACAGAGAGACAGATACAAGCAAACAGGCACACAGAAACAGAGGTAGAGAAACAGAGATAGAAGCAGGCAGAGAGAGCCAGAGAGACAGAAAGCAGAGAGACACAGATAGAAACAGAGAGAGAACAGAGACATATATACACAGGCAGATGATATAGAAAGAAATACACACAGAGACAGAGACAGACAGAGAGATGCAACACATACAAATACACAGAGTGGAGACAAAGGTACAAACAGATACAGTGATCATGCAGAGAGATATAGACAGAGAGAGAGAGAGAGAGAGAGAGAGAGAGAGAGAGAGAGAGAGAGAATTTGTCCACTGTTTGTGATTCTTGGCTAGAAGTGGCCCTTAAATAATTACTGCAGGACATAGCACAATAACATAAGTAGGATCCACGCATGCCCCATGCAGGGCCCTGATTTGTGGTGGTGATGTCCATCTGGCAAGCCCTTGACAATTTTTAGAGGTCACAGGCATGAGCTTATTTGACCACATTTGGCATATATCACATATGGATACACATGACTTTGTGATTATCTTCCATTATTGTACCCCCTAAACGGTGAGAATGGGTGACCGTCACAGCCTGGGAATTCACATCTCAGACCAGTGAGTGGAAAGATGCAGAGGTCATTAGTGAGCTGACATGCTCCACAACTAATTCAGTGATCCACTCCACTTGACTGACTGGGCCAGAACCGAATGATGCTTGGGGGTGATTACACTGCTTACGTACTTCCCAAGCAGCTACAGCCCATGTCTGTCTACATCACCACAAATGTCTAAACGCTTGTGAATATTTTATGTTGTAGTTCCACCCCTGGATGTTTTGAGACATCCAGAAAATACTAAGAATTCCAATAAAGTGTCCATGTGTAGAATCCAAGGGGAAAGCTGAGTGATGTGTGACTCATTAGAAGCCAGTTTTAAGGTCTGGAAGCAAGCCACAGTTCAGCTTTGTACTTGTCTTTGAAGAAGTAAATCTCTCCACGGAGTGTGGTAATAGCATCATATCTCAGGTGGGGGTCGCAGGCTGTGGGGGTGCTTGACCCGGTAGGTTGAACAGGGTTGCTTGAAAGACCTGGGGAAATAAAGGCATTTAGTGACCATTCAGACATGCCTTAGGAAGGCAGGGGATCTTTCCATGAAGAGAAAATCTGCCAGCCTGTTCTACGAGGCACTGATGTCACTGTACATGTGATCCTCAAAGTTCATGCCTGTTTAACGAGAATAACTTGAATTCTATGTTCCTTTTTAGATGTGAGCCCACCCTCTCCCCCTTCTTGTTCCCTCTGGCTGCTTTAATTTAAGAACTGTACCCTTGTTCCTCACCCAAATTCAAGTGCAGGAATGGACCTGATATTAGTCTTTCACCCTATGGCATAAATCTAACTCAGTTTCTTTTCTATAAGAATTTTCACCTTGGTTGGGTGTGGAGGAAGGAAGAGTATAGTTTGGAGGCTAGCCTGTGCCACAGAGTGAGACAATGTCTCAAGATAATAAATCAGTAAATAAATAAGAATTTACACCTCACTGTGATTTCCTACTGTGGAAAGGGTTCTACTGGAAAACATTGGATAGTTAGGAGAATTGAAAACACTGACAAGCAGAGAAAGCAGCTGTTTTGGCTGTGTGTGTGAGGGGGTTATGGTTATGGTTATGGTTATGAGGTGTTAGAATAGGGCTCCTTATTTTTGGAAATCCTACTGTGATGTAAAGACCGCTTGGTATGGCTCTGAGCATTCTTGGTTTTATAAGGTTACCCCACCCAGATAGAAGACAGCACTTCCTCCTCATTATCCTTTCCACACTTTTAGGGAGCAGGAGCGAAAGAGGGAGGAGACATGTTGTGGTCCTAGCTTAAGACAGGACACACCTTCCCCCCAAACTATCTGTCATACCTTTGAAAATGTTTTTGTTCTTCACGCCCTACTTCTATTCACCTCCTCCCACAGACTACTATGTTCACTACCTTTTTTTGCAGGTTTCCCCCAAACTCCTTGCTTTGTCTAAATACATTTTTAATTTGTATGGAGTCACATATTACGTACTTTAATTTGTACATGGCATACAATGTATCAGTCTGGTTCTTTTTTGTGAAGGACAGGTTTTAAAGTGAATATTGTTGCCCTATGAGTGTTTAATCCTGTTCTGACTCCTGGGTTCCCCCATGGTGTATATCTTCCATGGTTGACCAGTATCCCCCGCCCACCCCCAACAGATTTCCCTACAGTCCTCCATCTTCCTCCACTAAAAACAAGGTTCCAGTGAACATCCTTGCCAGGCTTTGTACTTTACCCTTATGGGACTATGTGAGAATGTCTTTAATAAATGTATCTTGGAGGAGCGTTGCTGAATCAAAAGGGAGCAGCATGTCTTTCTAGAATCTGTGAAATTGGAAAGCATCATTGTAAGAACCAGAGGACCAGCCGGCTGCTAGACAGCATCTTCTAGACCTGACAGGAAAGCTGCACTGTGACATCTCAACAGTGTGCTTGTCTAAACAGGACCTGCACAATGACAGCACAGTTGACAGGCCGATGTGGATGGGGGACATTCCACAGGGTCCCACCTCTAGATGAAGAGCTACAGGCAATGGCTGCTAAGAGAGAGAGAGAGAGACCTAATTTTCTCTAGGGATGAGCTCCCTGATAGGTTATCCAACCCCAGTGGTCAGCCCTAAGGACATATACATATGAGCAGCACTAAATAGACTTAGCAGGTTATATATGTATACAAATATATATGTGTACATATGTAACAGTAATAGTTATGGAAGAAGAGGTCATGAATTCAAGAGGGAGCTGCCAGGGACACAGGAGGAATTAGAGGGAGGAGGAGAGGTGGCAATGATGCAAATACAGTAAAGTAAGAATTTTAAATTAAATAACGGAGAAAGAAAACAGCCACCACTTAGGGATAGTAATTGGGGAATGCCGTGGTACATTTATCCCAAACCTCTCCCTCTCTCCCTCCCTCCCTCCCTTCCCTTCCTTCCTTCCTTTATCCCAAAACTCTCCTTCCTCCTTCCTTCCTCCCTCCCTCCTTCTCTCCCTTCCTTCCCTCCCCTTCCTTCCTTCCTTTATCCCAAAACTCTCCTTCCTCCTTCCTTCCTCCCCCCCTCCTTCTCTCCCTTCCTTCCCTTCCTTTCCTTCCTTCTTTCTTTCCCTTTTGAGACAGAGTCTCACTACGTAGTCCTAGTTGACTTCAAACTCCTGATTCTCCTGCCTCAACCTCCCAAGTGCTAGTATTACAGATATGCCACCAAGGCTGTCCTCTAGGCAGTAAGGCAGATAGACAGCTAATCACTAAAAACCAAGATGCAAAGAAATGTCAAGGGCCCAGCCCCAGAGGCCTGCTTTGCTAATACTATATTTATTACTGGTGACTTTCAGAGGTCCG